TTAAGGAGGAGTTGTATGTCTGGAGCAATTATTTAAGCAATTATTTAAGATAATTTATTTAACTACTTTCAGAAAATCAGAATATAAGCTCCAAGTACAGATACTGGCGTAGAATGAACACATCCTTCATCAGAGTACTCTTGGTCATCATTTGTGAATGCGTTTTCTTTGTTTTAGAAAGGTTCTGCAATGTAAAATCCCTGGGTTACTTGGAGAGTCATTGATGTGAACTGGAGATCGTTTTGCAAGTCTTAAAAAAAGCATCTTCTTATGATTTCTGTTAAAAAAGTAGACCCAGCTGTACTTTATTTGTGCAGTAATTAAGTTTTATGATCCCACTCAGTGTTAAAGTAGCTCCTGGGAAGTAAAGACTTTGTAATTCATCCTGTGGAAAAGATGTGTCTATCAGGTCTACAGGCAGGTAGCATTTGTGTACCACCTATACTGATAGTAAGTAATCTTTTCTTAAAACATTTTATTCTTTATATCTTCAGTACAATTTAGTAAAAAAGGAAAAGTTTTCATAAACACCTTCATACACTGGTGAATTGCATTCATGAAGCTAAAAAACAAATGATGAATATGACCTAGTTTCCTTTGAACTTTGCAGAAGTCCCACTTCTCTCCCATCAAAAGCTTAATTCTCTCCTGGACTTATTCTCTTACTTAATGCTTGCAAACCTGAACTATATGGCCTCTTGGGTGATGGAGGAAATGCTGAGGGAGCTCAGCATAGACTTTAAAGCAAACTTGGGTTGTGTAACTAGAGCTATATTCATAAAGATTAAAGGGCAGCAGATGTATTGATTTAAGTGAAGATCTATTCCAGTGAACTTCCTAAATCTAGGGAATGCTGTTTCTTCTCAAGAATCTTTGGTGGTCTGCATCAGTGGGCTCTTCTTGTGCAACAATGAAGAAGCAAAAGCAGAGGAGGAGGCGTCCCCCTTCCCTTCAGATTCCTTCCTTCCCTAGCGTGCAGATTTTTAGGGTTGCAGGCACATGTTGCTGATCTGAGCAGATACTACCGTCACAGACATCAGCGTTAAAAGAAAGCAAAGCAGAAACTTGTCAAACCTTAGTAACGCAGAGAATGCAGCATTTTCAAGGTACTCAAAATATCTTAAATCCACCCCCGTATACTACTAGAAAAGATCCAGGAACATCATTGTATTATGTCCATCCATGTAGGAAAGTTGCAACCCAAAGCCTACAAAAAGTAGAACCCAGGAGTCATATTTACCTAGTGGCTGGACTGCTTTACAGCTTCCATTAGATGTTATATGTACCAGAATTTTCCACATATTTACTTAGACAAACAGAATACAAAAAGCAGTCGTTTTCCAGTCTTCCTTAGAAGTCTTATCTCACATGTTGCTTGCACTCAGTGAATAATAAAACCAGGCCCTGTGATTTCAGCTCTCAGCCAAATAACCAAGTGTCACTAGACATAGACCTAAAATGTCTCCATTGATAAATCTCATATGAAAAAAATAAAATGGCATGGAAGTGACCAGTGTTCTGTGATAAACGTTGTTAATAGTCTGCATGCCAAGAAAGAAAAACATTCATCTAGCACTTCTGTGGCAGCAGAGGTAGGGTACTTTGAGCATTGGCTTAAGGCAAACAACCTTAAACTTTATATTCCATAATGTATTACTTGGAGAGTAACTTTATTCAAAAGCTTGACATGAAATATGTTTGTATTCCACCCACAAATATGTTGACCCTTCAAATCACTTTCATATTGATATATGATTTTTGAAAGCAGAAATCTATACAACTTTTACTTGAAGTGGTGGGAGAGGTCCCTGGCTGGTGTTTCATTAGTTTTGTCCTTAAATAACAGACAAATGTGTGTATCAAAATCTAAAAACTCTGTCTCAGAGAGGTAGATTAAAGATGCTCAGTCTTGGATTAGTTCATACTTTTTTTATTACTGAGCATTTTTACTGGTTTATGCTTTTTGCCTTAAGAAGTATCTGCTTATTAGATGCATGTCTCTGAAACGACCACTTATAATACAGCAAACTCAGCATTATTCCAGGTATCCGCCCCATGCTTAGCCTGAGTAATGGACAAACCTGGATAATAGTGGCACTCTAAGATGCTGTGGAGCATGGTCAAGACACACATTGTAACTCAGGGTAAAGCCACTCCAGTGACTTTTTTCTTACGTTTCTCAGTATTTCTGATTCTTCTAGATGTAACCTGTTTCTATGTATAGTATGTCTGGGTAGAATGATGTCGTTTATTATTGTTCTGGTGCAGGTTTTGCTGTGCTTCAGTTAACTCTACATAGAGCCAGCTCAGCTGTCTCTTTACCTTTTGCAAAAGATAGTCTGTTGATGTGTACCTGAGAGTTGATAGTATATGTTAACATCAGAATGGATATGTACTGACTGACATATAGGTCAATGTCACTAGTTTATTTTAAGCATCCTGAATATACCTTTCAGGTAGGGGGGGAAGGCATGAATTTGGAAGAAATGAGGAGAGTAGGAATAAATAACTGTTCAGGGTAGAAAGGGAACAAATGGAAACAGGTGGGAGGGCAGGAGTGGAGAGTTTGTTTAACTGCGATCATTCTGCAAAATCTTCATTCAAAATTAGAGCAAAGGAGTGGGCTCTTCCCTTGCAGTATACCTGTGTATCTAGGGTTGCACTTCTCCCCTGTCCCATATGTCCTGTATGCCCATCAGAAAGATATCAACCTTTTAACAAGCATTAAAAGGTAGTGGAATCTTTCTTGATCAAATATGAACTGGACAGTTATCCTGCTCTCCTCACACAATTATTTGAATATAGTGTTCTTCATTTGTGTCTTAAACTCTACATATGGCCTTAGTTAGTTGTTGCCCTCTTCTGTCCTTGTCAGCAACATTGTAACGAGAAGGTGAAGCAGTTGTGCAAAACTGTTTAAAAGACAAGTAATTGTAAGAAATAAAAGGAGTAAGGGTGAGAAAATATTTGTGGTTGCTCTTAAATTACATTGTTGTTTCATTGACGTTTTTAATTGATTCCCACTTGACTGATCGGGTTAGAGCCTATTTGAATTGTGACTTCCAGAATAATTGTATCTCATTAATAAAAGCAATCACTTTATCTTTTTCACAATTAGGAAGGGAGAAGATGCTATTCTGCAATTTTTGATCATTTGCCAAAAGTCCTTGCCTTTCATTCCTACCATCTAGTACGTTTAAGTCTCTTCTGTAAAACCAGTAGAGTTGGCATGCTTTTCATTGGCATGCTTTTTCTTGAAGATTTCAGCGTTGCTGACAATGTTACTTCCACTGGGAAAATGGAAATGAGGGTTCCCTAGCTGTCTACCTGGACGTCTCATATCAACATGACATTTTGCCTGCAGGGAGAAAATAAAACTGAGAACAACTTTGTGGGCAGACCGAAAAGGCAAGCTGAAAGATTCTCTGTCAGTTATCCTCAAATATTTGTTTGGAAGTCTCTTCCTAAGAAGGAACTCGTATTTTTTTTAGCTTTAGCCCAGATATGAAGTGTATATGTTCCTAACATCATGTATATTTTTTGTAGAAATGGATTTTCATTCTCCAGAAACCTTCACTAGTAAGTGGCTGTAGCATCCATTCATCTCCCTTCCTACTCTGAGAAATTTTTTTTAGAGGAATTAAGTATGACCGTCTTTCAGCTAGGGGCCTACTGATATAAAGAGTGCTACCTGCTTCTGTTGACTTCAGAACCTGTGAATGGTGGCTCTAGGAGGCCAATAAAGTGAAAAGCGGGAAAAGAAAAAAAAAGCAGCTGGGTTGTAACTCTTAATTTTAGTTCACTAAGCAGTGTTTGAAATCATTAATCATATTAGCGTATTGTCTTCAATATAATGTTTTGTTTCCTTCCTCCTGATTTAATGAATTTCAGGTTAGTAAGAAGTAGTGGCAATTCCATGTGTCCCAAAATCTTGAAATGACTTTCAGACTTTTAGAATAGTCATCTTAAAGTGAATCAAAAGATTTCTAAAAACAATAGACACAAAGGTCTTACTGGCTTTTAGGTGCATGTTCCCAAAGTTCTCTTTTATGTTTGAGGACCAGATCCTTACTTTGGGCAAAAAAGAAAGTTGAAATTTTCCCACAATAATTAACATCTGCCACAGACTTAGGTGCTAAATATCATAATGGAATCATGAGAGGTGGCAGCTCCAGGTGGGTAGTATACCAGATTGGCTCATTCTCCAAAAGACAGAAACTTAGTAGGCCATATAAGAATAATAGAAAAACCATGTAGTTTTGCCATCCGGGCAAATGTCCTGCCAGGGATTGGCCTGGAATGCAGGATCTAGTCTTGAATATCTGGATAGGAATGTGAGATGCTTTCGTTCTCTATAATCAGCAGCTGAATTGGGACCAGTGAACTGAGAAAGGCTTCAAAGTCTGTCCCTTAAGTCACCAGTGTCCTCATCCTCCATCTTTAGTTTGCAACAGTGATCTAGAAACGAAAGGCTCCATTTCTTAGACAGCCCATACCTCTTTTTTTTTTTCCACAGAAAAAGAATTGTAATCTGATGGAGAAGAAGAACAGAGGTTCTGTGCTTTGTTTTCACTGTTACAATTCTCAAACCGTTTGTCCGAGGAGGGGACAAGTTTTTCCAAGTTTGTCCTAGAACAGGGCAGTGGTTCTGAACATCCTGTCAATGGTGGTATTTTAACTTGCATGTACAAATTGCAAATTTTAAGCCCAGAATAATGTCCCAATTACTTTGCAGATCATTTCAAAATTCATCTGTACTATCAGTTGGCTGCAGGATTCTTCATTTTCTGTCCAAATGGAGGTGACTGTATCTCCCAATAGAGTGAAATTGTGCCTGGATTTATTTTGCCTATTTTATGAAGTACTTCATGATGCAAATTAAGAGTAATTAAAGGAAGAGCCAAACTAGCATATTAGCATATCATAGTAAATATTCAGTTATCATTCCTCATTAAGGTTTTCCCTTTGCAATCTCTCTTTCTTCCTTTCTTTTATTCTAGTCCCCTCTGCAGTTCCTATGATGCATCAGGTGAGTCGTACTAGCAGTAGCATCACTTTGTCCTGGCCTCAGCCAGACCAGCCTAATGGGATCATCCTGGATTACCAGCTTCGTTACTTCGACAAGGTGAGCAGAGAATGATGCAATGCAGGCTGTGATGTAATGCGAGAAAGAATAGGAAAATCTTCTGTCTGGGAGACATCCCTGTGGATCAGGATGAATAAGGTGGAGAAAAGTGCTTTAATTCTGAGGGAAGAGCACACTGTAGCAACACTGAAGTTTCTGATATATGTATGATCATCCGTCCATCTGCATTTCCCAGCTTGGAACCATCTAGTGATGCAGACAGAAAAAGGAGAAGACACTTGTAGCTAAGCTAAAAAGCTATGGCTAAAACAATTGAATAAATTTAGCGTCAGTTGATACAGGTAACAGCAGAAGGAGCTGAAGTTTTTAAATGTGGTGTATGTTGGAGTTGGACTCACTGCAACATTTTATCATGGGTTGTGGAGTGATGTCCTGTGCCCCCATATATGCCTGGACAGACACCTCTAAGAAGTTCAGTGGGGAGGAGTGCCCTCTTTCATTCTCTAAGTGGCAGGTCTCAGTCACCTGTTCATGTGCTAGAATTAACAGGGTGGCAAATATAAAGTTGATTTCCACCCACATCTTTCATGACTCCCAATCTAACTGGTTTGAGGGAAGAGGTCCATAGGGCTGCTCAAACACATTCTCTGTCCTGATCTTTCACATGAACATATGTGCAGGGTTACGCAGGGCTGCTGTTTCTTCTAGCAGTAAAGGTGCCTGTAATTTATAACGCAGCCAGCAGCTTCCTGGATGTAGTTTTACACGTGTTCTCGCACTGCATTCTTCAAGGAGAGTGGATGAGTTTGGAGCTTGTAGAAAGCAGAATTTCAGAACAGGTTAGGGGATGCTTTTGGATGTTTTCAGCAAGGCACCACAGCACAAGATACTTTTGTCTCTCATTTTGTTTAGGTGAGGACTGAGGGACTTTGGCAGACCTAGGGGGAACCCAGACCTAAGGGAATGGAGGGCAGCAGTGAGGAGCATGAGTACTGTGTGAGGAACCCAGGTCTGGAATAGCAGGTGGGAGAGGGAGAATCAAAGAATATTGGGCCCACATGAAATCTAGCATTCCTTGATGAGGAGAGCCAGTGGTGTGGGCAAAGGTCTCATATTCGTTTTTGGTTATTGGCATTTGCAGGCAGATGAGGAGGATAATTCATTGACCTTGACTAGTGAGACCAACATGGCCACCATCTCAAATTTGAGCCCAGGCAAGATCTATGCCTTCCAAGTACGAGCTAGAACAGCAGTGGGCTATGGCCCATACAGTGGAAAGATGTATTTCCAGACGCTAATGGGAGGTGAGTGCTGCTGTTTTGTACTCAGACTTGCACAGACTCATTTTTCACTTATGTATGTCATTAAGTGTATTAGCTTATGCTCCAGAAGACTGCTACCTAACACTCCTACTTGTGTCATGTTTCGGTATACTATAATTTGCATATGCACGTTTGTTCACTCACAGAAACTTCACGCTGTCAGAGCATGTGGTTTACGCACTCTTGGCCTTTGGTACCTCCATATTCCCAATTTCTACTCCTTGTTTTCATATGCTTCTGTGCCTCTGACCAGGAAGGAACAGAGCGTGTCAGCAGTTCTTTTTAAGAAAATGTTACAGTACACAATGCTATACTCTGCTGTGGTTTGGTCTCCAGCTGCCACAGGCCACATTACAGCTAAACGTTCTGTGCAAGGACAGGTGGGACACAGGACATACGCGCAGAGCCTTGCCTTCCAACAGTATCACCATCCATTTATGCAAAGAGTAATGTGTCATCTTGTGAAACCTTTGGTCTGGGTCAAAGGTACTCACATACATCATCTACAGACTGAACTAAGAAGAGACAGTGGGTTCACTGCCCAAGTTTACAGGTATCTTGTACTTACATAGCTAGTCAGGTATCAGTGGATAAGGGGAGGGAAAAGAGGATTGGAGGGAATACTCGCCTTTCAGAGGTTGAAAGGGAAGCACTGAAAAAGCACAGTGACTGAAG